CGGTCCCAGGCTCTCCATGTTGTAAGCCACACAAGCCTTCTGGATCACTTCGGTCAGCTTTTCTGGGTTGCTTTGAAATAACGGTTCAGTTCTGTCTTCTTTCTGAAAGCCAGTCGAAGCACACGGTACACTGTCTCTGCTACAACGGCCTGTTCCGGAAGGTCGAACAGAACCGTCTCGTCGAACTCCTGAGCTTTGGACATCTGACCCTCCTCCATGGGGCGCAGCACTAGTGCCCAAAGCCCTCCGCGGCTCCCGCTGACAGGAGGGATCAGGTCGCCCACTCGCAGCTTGCCGAGCTCCCCTGGTCTGAGGTAGGCCTCTATAGCCAGATGCATCATCAGCCCAAATTCCACTTTCTGCTTGTAGAAAGCATGCTGAGCCATCAGACACACCACCTCTCGCGGGAAGGGCATCCGAGACATTGGGGGATCCAACTTTCTCCAGCCTGTAGCGTCTGTCGAGACAATGGAAGCGTCATCATCTTTGGACTACTCAACTGAGGAAGCTTGAAGAGAACCGCTGCCAACATGTATTGCGCTGAACTCAGGCTCTCCCCCTCCAGCCACATCTGATCCAACACAGACGTCAAGCCTGCATCGATCCTCTCGGCTGAAACCTTCCGGTTTGCCTTCATGTTTGACATCTTCAGGAACTGTCTCCAGCACTCGTTGTACCTGATGGGCCCCACCGCTGCTTCGCAAAGCTTCCTATCTCTGGTAGCTGTTCTTTTCGCTCCTTGCTCTTCTCGGCCTTGGTCTTGGCCACCAGTTGTGAGCTCGCTGAGCCCACCTTCATGGCAGTCTTCTGTTTCTTCCTGGTCTTCCCGGAGGACTTGCTTGGCATAGGAACCAGGTGATGCAGCACCATGTTTCGGCACTGCGACAGGCTTCGACGGAAACAGGGAACCTCGAGAAGGACCGTCAGCGGGGTTCATTTCCGACGCGATCCACCTCATACCCAACGAACAACCAGACCCAAGCAACAATGCTCCAATCTGCTGTGTCACTCGCCGAAGTCAGAAAGTCTTCCCCCGGCCCCTTTCTATTGCGCAAATAGCTGACATCGAGTCTGAAAGAATCAGGTGTTTACAATGAAAGCTTGAAGACCTCCGCAAAAAATGTTTGACAGCATGTAAGGTGGCCCGAGCTTCTAGGACTGGCATGCTTTCGACTCTCTTCCATGTGTATCTTCCAACTACTTTCCACTCAGTCTGCAAACATTGAATGGGAATGGGGTCAAAGCACACCGGTTTGTTTTCTCCAAAACCCCCCAACAAAGGTCGAGTCGCCTCCAGCTGCCCACCATCGGCTGCAGCCCATTGTGCGACATGGGCCTCGTCGGTGTCAGCCGTTGAGCAACCAAAAACCGAAGACCGGGGTTTCCTGAATTTCTCACTCTCAAACCTCCAACGCTCTGAAAACTTCCCAAACTCTGCCACTGTGCTCGTGCCAAGTGTTGTAGTTGTGGCCCCAAGGCCCCACTCTGATGCATCAACCGCTGTAACCTCAGGGTTCCACTGGGCTGAAAGGTCTCTCCAAACAAGGGGAATAATACCAGCAAAAATTCTCAACTCTCTTCTCACAGAACCCCAAAGACGTCTTGGTGTGTGATAAAAACCTTGTATGTAGGTGTATGTGTCCCCAAATACCGACAACCTTCACGTCGACCAAGACAAACAAAGGCTGCGTGACCAATCACCTTTTCAAGCCGGCGCCCGGAGGCAATCCCTTGTTTGAGGATTTCTAGAAGGGCCAGCTTGATTCGCCACACACGATGAGGTAGAGGTCGAATTTTGCTCCCATTGAACTCCCAACCCAGAACCTTTTGCGGTCCCTGTGAGGTCGAGGAGCTTTCCACTTCACGCACCACCAAACCTTTGGATCTGAGCGCTGCAACTCCTTTCTCAGCCAGACTGTCGACAGCGGCTTTGCACGTCCCAAGCACGACAAAGTTGTCAACATATTCAATGTGCATACATGAGTGATCAGGCACCTTGCACTTGTCTTCCAAACACGTGTCTGCTGACGCTCCCACCGATGAGACCACATGCTGGTGCAACTTTTGGCACCAGAACAATGCATGCGACCAACCCATAGGGAGAACCTTCAATCTTGGAAACAACAGCGAGTCCGGCTGAAGGGGCTCCCCTTCGTACGAGGTTACACCGACCTCTGCTGCTCTGACTGGCCTCATTCCAAAATAAGGTCTCAGTGCTACTGGAAGCTGGAAATGGTAAAAGGCGTCCTTCAGGTCTGCACTTGAAATGAAAAGCTCCTCCTTGCCTGGAACCTCTATCCGTGTCATAGCCTCTGCTGTACAAAGTCGCACCTTTTGTGGCGCTGCAAAGTGGCAGTTCGACAACCTGCAGTCGCAAACCATCCTCAAGCGCCCATCTTTTTTCCCAACAAAAAACATCTCAACCCTCTGCTTGTTGCGCGCAGGAGTCAATCAACAATGTCTGCTGATTGCAACCGCTGAACGAAGGCTCTATAGGTTCTGGGTTCCCGTAGTCTTGGGTCACTGTACGCTTCTCTCAAGCCAATGCTTTTGATCCGCTTGCGAGCTTCATCCTCAGGCAGAAGATGGGAGTCAATGAAATCTCCCACAACGTCACAACCTGTTTCTCCAATCAGTTTCTCCAAGGGCACGGCTTCACTGCCGCATGAAGGTAAAGACAGGAGCTCAGGCTTGTAGGGTTTCACCGAGCACGGCGTCTGGCTGTCGCCGTACCCATGGAAGGCGTGGAGCTGCTGAAGCGCCCCGCCACCGGTCAAGCCCTCACGTATCGGGCCCAACATGTTGATTGAATTCTGAATGTGCAAAACCATGTCGCGCTGGGATTGTGACCAGGTGGAACAAGCCTTCGCTGGCTCCACCTTGCCACCACTGTAAAGCGCGTTCAAACAACGGATGCACTCCTCAACCGCCTCCTCACAATGAACTCGTCTCTCCAATCGCCGCTGAGTCTACGGCAACCAAAGCACTTCATCCAAGGTCGAGGAAGACAAGAAGGGAGCGGAAAAATGTCCCTTGGAACGGACCTCTGCGCATCATCGAATTCGGGCGCTGGAGCTCATCAGGGGTTTTCCTCTTTGCTTCTTCTTCTTCCGGTTTAGCTCCCGCTCCTCCTTGGCTTTCCGGAGATTCTTTGCCAACAGCACTTCACGTTCTGTCTCTTCTTTCACATGGTTCAGGAGGGATGAAGCAATCATGAGGGTTCCTGCATGCCGAACGACCGAGCCGAACACATACTGTTCCTCCAAAGCCAGACGTCCTCCAGCTAGCTTACTCTCAGCCTCCCTTGCCTTCTCTGCATGGCTGTACTCGATTGTCTGCAACCGACGAAACATCATTTCAATGCCCAATGAATTGCAGTCATTGACGCCATCAACTTGTAACAAGTTCCGCAACATCATAGACAATTGGAAATGCTCCTGCACAGCCCATGACCCAGCATCGAGGCGGCACACCTGACGAAAACGCTCATGGTGTTGTTCCAGTCTTAATCCCTCAACTGTGAGATAATTCAAGCACCACTGGGCCGTTCGAGGACCCTTCAACTTCCAGCCTAAGTCCAGCTCCTTAGATGCAGCAGTGGCATCCGCCAGAGGCACCTCCGGTGTTCCAAGGGCATTCTTCTTTCTGGGAATCAAACGCCCGTCGCACAATGAAGGTCTGTTGTTGAAGTCCTCAAGTCCAGCTTCAACGATGCACATGCAGAAAAGCGATCTCCCATCAGGAAGGGTGTGAACTGTCTTTGCATCTCTAGTGGCTGCTACTCCAACACCATCAATTACCTCTCCGTACCTAATGCCCTCGATGCTTTCGGCCGCAACCCATGTAGGAACTCCAGGGGCTAGATCCCTGGCGCCCGGAGCCTTGGCCTCAGTCAATGCCGCCACCCCTACAGCCGCGGCCGGAGGGGGTGCAGGCGCAGCCCGAACAACTCCCCCTCCCCCAGGCCACGCGCAGTCCTCTCTGTTTCACAAAGACGGCGAGCTTCATCTCGAATGGCAATCAACTCGGCAGGTGTCCATGGGGGGAGTCCATACACATCAGCTGCAGCAACGCCGGGAGGCAGTTGGTTCGCCCCCGGCCTCATCCGGAATGCCCTCAAGTCTCCGTTGTCGGGACTCAACTGTTCCACGAACACGTCCCGGTCTGGCGTGCACACTACGTACTCGTCACCTTGTACATGGTCAAGGATCAAACGTTCGTGAACCACCACCGGACCCCCAACATCATATTCCAATAGCGCGATGCGATTGGTGAGCATGTCTCCTGACTCTCAATTCTGCTAATTGGTTCCGAGCTAAATCTCCAATGCTAGGCTGTGGCGATCTCGGACTATTCTCAGGGCTTGACTCAGCTTCTTGAAGACGCCAACGCCGAAGGCCCCAAAAAACGATGCAACCGACACAACACACTCCCAGCAAACCCAAAGCCACAACACTGATAGGTAGGATCACACTGTTCCAACTGTCCAGCCCTGACCAAACCTTTGAAGTGGTGTAGGTGGGGGTTGACACTCCCAGCTCACTCTCAAGGCAGAATTTCAAAGTCTCAGACACGGCCTTCCCGACAGCTCTCTCAATCGAGTCACTCGAGTCCGACCGACCGCTCAACCAAGCCAGCAATGGAACGGTGAATGCCACCTGACCAACGATCAGACCGCCGGAACACCCATGGCATGCGGGTCCCCCTTGAAGCTTGAGCCAGGGAAACCACGGGCGGCCAGACTCAACAAGGCACCATTCAACAATCACGTTCATAGAACACTCATGGCTCAAGAACATCCCCCCTGCTGCAATTGTAAAAAGCAAAGACATGAAAAGTGCAACAACTGAAGCCTTGAACTTCGTCCGGTACAATTCGTCGGCTGTGATTGCTTTGGGCATCACTCGTTCCCATCGGCGGTATTGAGCTGTTCAACTTGCCTATCACTTGAACCTAGATGCAACGTTTCGTTCGTTGACACTCACGACTTCCTTTGGTCCTCAAATTGCTTTCCTTCGGTTCGCTTCAATCATATTTAGATAATAAATACATCTTCTTGCACTATCTTGCACCTGCCTTTGTCTTCCTGCTGTGGCAAAACAAAGGAGCAGACACTTGACATCTCTGGGTTTCCATGCCATCTTAGGCTTCATGATCTTGATCTTTTCGGATAGCTTCAAGGCTTCTGGATGTCTACTGCGCCAGTGTGCTGGGATTCACTGTATTTTCACAGCCCGCATAGAACCAGTGAAAACTAAAGACTTCCGACGGCCCAAGCTCCTGTCTATGGCAGACATGGACTGCTTGCTGTGCACTCCATCCAGCTCAGGCTGTTCCTGCCAGATATCCAAGGGCTTCTATGACCGATGTCACCAAAAGCACACCTCCTACAATGCCTCCGTTTCACTAGCTTGCCTGCTTCTTCAATCTGGACTTGCAAATGCATCTCTCAGGTGTTTATGGTGCCAAAAGTGAGCAGCACATGGTTCTCAGACTCAAAGTATGTGTGCCCCTCAAAGTATCAGTTTAGCAGGAACTTTCAAAAGTTGCATCTAGACCTCCAATGCTATGACATTTTACAAGTGCTTTGCTCCCCGCCCTGCAATGAAACAACATGCGCGAGGCCCCTGTGGCCCCGTCCTTCGGCATTTTGGCCCGCACGGCGATTTCTTGATCGGACCATTGGAGGTCTTGATACCTCAGGCACGCAGCTCGGCGCTCGGCGCTCAAGTCCATCAGAGCCGATCTCAAAAAGTCCAGGAAAGACGATACCCTCTGCTCTATCATGGAAGCTGAGTCATCACCTTCCTTGTACAAAATGGGTCTTTCAGAGGCCTGCGTGGCCATGATTCTTTCGAGTCCGATCTCAACTGGCGTCTCCGGACGGATCAATGTACAATGCAACGTGGTGCACTGTCTCAGGCACAGAATCCTGCGGAGAATGATATGGAGAACATTGAACATCTTGATTTTTTTTGCACGCCCTACTTAATCAAGGGAGTAAGCTCCTAGCTACTAAACGAAACTGGTAACTGGACGCAGGATAGCTCACGCTCGCTCTGTTCATTTGGTTCCTAGATTTTTAGGATAACTCAACAAGAACGGGGCAGAAGACTGTAACTGAGCGAGGTGACGATACATGATGCCCTGCGATGTGGAAGTGCAGTGTGGTGATGTGGTGGTAGTGCAATGTGAGGATGTCATGTGTGGTTGTCTGGTAATTTTCATGTGGTGCGGCATGACTTTTAGACTTTCTGAACGCTAGCTGCTCCAGTTATTGCGCCGCCACAAATTCTGTGCAATGTGAAGCTCAGTTCCAAAAGCTGGCCAAGTGCTGCATCTGAGATCTTGCGACTGCTCTCAGGAGGCATCGGATTCTCAGAAGATGGCATCAACTGCTGTCGTTGCATGTCGTTGCAGCAAAAAAGTGCCTCTTCATACACAAGACCCGGAAGCATCAGGCTCTTCTCAGGAGATCGGTGGTCATCAATCGACAGCCAAGCATTGTCCTCTAGCTGAGGCCAGGCAGTGTAACGGCCGAAGTTCCTTCCTCGACAATGTCACAATGACACGCGATGCAATCTGAAACAAAGCCATGCAATGTCCGGCACTGTTGGGGACTCAGCGCTGGCATCAAAACCGTTTACTCAAAGGTGAATTTGGGGTTGAACTTGCCTGCTGCTAGCAGTGGATGCGTTCCGTCAAAGAACAAGCACCGCGTCAGGAAGGACAAGTAATATCCGGGTGTTCGTTTGCCCCGCTGCAATGTTCGTGCGCAAGAGTTTGGATGCGTGTGGTGGAAAATGGACATGACAGCTTCTTCCCCTGAATGAATGAGCAGCAGATTCATTGCCACCCTACTTTGCTGCCACGTGTTGGCATTGCAGTCAGCGAAAGAATCCCAGCCATGTCCCGGCCATGGCCTCCCTTTTTCAATCCTGGAAACTACTCATCAACTGTCGTAAGATCCAAAAACACCGACAACTTGCTTGCTGTGCAGGCGGAGGAACAGGATTAGGGGCAGGATTATGTGCAGCAGGAGCACGTATATAATCAAGCAAGCGTCTTGCATGCAAGCTTTGATGAACTGCTTTCCTAAAGGGTGGCCAAGTTGGTGCCGGATGCTTTCGCACGACTGATGTTTTCGCCAACATGGAGCCAGAAAAATAACACGTGCTCATGCGGCAACTCCAGCTGTGGCTCAACCCTCGTGCCAAGGTGCACTCAGAAAAATTTGACCGACAAAGCATTCCACCCGCGCGGATTTGGGTCCGGGCCAGAGGTCAAGAGACATGCTCAAACCAACGAAATGGTGCGTGGACAAACAATGGCTCCGACCGAGGCTCGTTCTGGCACTTGTCATGTGGCATGTGGTGAAGTGCAATGAAATTGCGTGTGGTGATTGCTCTAGAAATCCCTTCTATACAATTATCTCTAAAAGTTCCTCTCCTTACTTGTTTTTCTCTGGGACTCTGCATCATCTGCAAACATTTCGTCACACCGCCGTGAGTTACAGGCCCGGAATTAGGATGGAAGAAAACGGGCACGGATCTGGCGGAGAACTGGAAAGAGACGGACTTTGTTGGAGAAGATGCAGGGAAAAGGAATGTGGGAGAAGGAAGGCTGGGCGCAGTGAAGAGAAACTGAAAAAAGAGAATTGCGTGGCAGGTGCAGATGTCAGACACGAAGTGCAGATTTTTAGCCTTGTAAAATTTTTCAAGTTTGACACGCTGCACAACCTTTGCACACACCACTCCTAGGTGCAAACCAAACCTAAAATAGATGCGTCGGCCGTGTTCCCAACATTGACAATGTGCACTAAGCATCAATGCAGTCCAGCTATGAAATGCCCCCATAGCAAGCGTGATGGGTGCAGTTCAGTGTGGGCCCTTTTTAAAATATGTTGTGTGCAGTTCGGTCCTTGCCCTTCAGGTCCACCCAAATAGGTCTGTCAGTGATATCCTCTATCATCTGCTTTACCTGCAGTGTCGGAATGCAAAAGATGCTACTCTGACAAAGGAGTAAGCGCCTCAGGAGTGTGGAGGGTGGCGCTGAAGAACAGGGTCTGGACCTCAGCTTTAAAAACAAAACACCTGAAACAGAAAATACCCTGCTTCATACCATTGAACGGTTGATTTGGAAGATGAAAGGATATGTGCGTTGATATGTCTACTCATTGCTTGACTAACGAGAATCTACTGTCGACAGCCTTATATTATATGTATGCACAGAAAAACTTACAGACGCCCAACACATAGACATATCTATACTCTATACAAATCTTTACACACTTGTTTCTCCACTGTGGAAGGAGGGTGCAAACGGCCTTCTCGGCCAAAAGTGGCTCCTTCACCACCCAGCACTGGCAATGCTGCATCTGGGATGGCGGCTGTTTCACTGGGAGAGCACCCAGTCAAAAACCGAGCGGCCTTTCAACAACTTGTCCTTGGTGTTGTTGGGCAGTCTTGGCATGAACTGCACTGCCCATCTTTCCTGCGTGTAGATGTCCATCACTTTCGAAGTAATCCAGCGGCCACGTCGCCGAGTGAACTCGCTGTCTTCGCTCACCATCAGGAGCCACGAAGCTCCCCCGGCCCTCAACAACCCTAAATTGATCATCTGCTGGCATCCAGCATGAGAAGCATCAATGAAGTCCATTCACATCCCAAAGCAGAGCTAGGTGCTTGACCTTCTCATACATTTCGCGACCAAGATCAGGCCGGTCACGCTATCTGGCTCCACAAAAGCGAGCCACAGCATGTCCGACAAATAGCTCTCCAAGACGCTGTACCAAAAAGTTTCAATCTTGAAGGGTCAGGCACGGTCGGGCTGCAGTTCCTCAGCTGGCACTTCATCTCCTTACTTTGGTATCATTGGCAATAAATGAACACAGCACGTTTGGGATGAGGTCGGACCGTGCCGACAGAGAGCCCCAGAGATCGCCATATGAGTCCAGGTCCAGAGAGGGCATCCAAAAAGAGCACCGTACACAGTGAGGTCCAGCGACGAGAGGGAGAAGGGCGGAGGAAGGAAAGAGAGCAGGGAAGGAGTGACACCTGACAAGATTGGCCAAAGGCCTGCGGCTCCATTTCGGGAGCACTACAGACTGAAGTTCCTTTGAGTGTCCAGCAACCATAGCCGTTTCAATACCAGACCGTTGTCATGTGATTGAGCTGCACGATATACCAGCAAAATTCTTCGCTTGAGCATCTTTGCATTCGGTGCTTCTTTTGCGGCGAGTGGATGAGCCAAGCTCCGCTTCCGGGCCACTACAGACTTCAGTCTCAGCCTTTGAGTGTCCATGCGCTGAGTCTAAGTATCTCGATAGGTGCATGTTACATAGGTACCTAAATGGATGGATGGATACATGGGTAGAGACAAAGAAGCAAATGGAGAAAGATAGCCAGACAGCGAGGTAAGCGTCTGTTTGGCATGCACAGGATACTAAAAAGGCATTTGTAATGACTTCAGCGGTTTTTTTTTCGAACCCATAGCTGCGTCTTCACGACCCCACCGACTCCCATAACTCACTTCGCTCGTAAATATGGAACTTTGGCCTAGCCTAGAATCAAGTTGGAGTATGTTCCCACTGACTGAGGCGCGACTCTCTCAACTGCCCTGCATGCATTGCGATCTCTACGCAGCTATCCAACCCATCTCTGTGGGGTCTGATACCACATCCAACCCTTGCTGGGCTTTGGGCTCGATCCCTTCGGCCTCGCTTGATCTGTGCATTCAGCCGAGGGATTTCCTGGACCAGACTGCAGAGGTTGGATGGAATTCAATGTTTTTTTGGCGTACGAAACCAGAGTAAACAGTAAACAGAACTTCCCAGCACTTTAACAGTGAAACCTTAAGCTGTCCCAATACCTGCTAACTCCAGGACAATACCGCTAAGGAGTCTTAAATGAAGAACTTAAGTTTCACCAGATAATCCCCTTTCCTGAAGCCTTTCGAAGGCTTCCTCAAGGAATCTGGGCCTTGCGGTCATCCTTCTTTTGCAAGTCATCTGCTTCATCAAGGACCAGGAACTTCAGATGAGTTACGTCCTGAGCTACCAAGTCCAATGAACTTGCTCAGACCAACGATTGTCTTTGCTGCCACTCAAAGCGTTTGCCTTTGCACGACAGCCTTCTAGGAATCCAGGCCAACTTTCCACGTCGGACATAGTCCATCAACTTCTGCAAGGTTCCAACCTGAAAGTTGTGATCGAAGTGACTGCACTGCACTCACCCTTCGACATCGTCAAGCCAAGGCAAATGCTTCCATATGGATGTGTATGTGTGTATATATATATATGCATCTTCGTCCAAACAAGTCTTACCTTGCTTGGCTTCCCTGGCCACAATGTCCACACCTTCTTCCAATGCTCGGAATTGCTCCTGTCAAATGAGATTGATGGGGTCACTTGCAAAAGGGATGAGCTCGAAAGCATCAGGCTGCTCTCGGTTACCACAATCCTTCTATTCATTTCCTCCGCCAATCCGTGACAGTCTCGAACGCCCATCGCCTTCTCATCAATTCCTCCTACAAAGAGTGTGATGCGAACGGTGGGGTTGTCCAAATACTTGTTGAAGGTGGTCATGCCTTGGCGAGTTACACCAGCCGCCCAAATGGGCGCTGTGCTTTTTGTGGCAAAAATATCATGTTCCGCCCCAACATTTGAAGGCTCCAACACCCTCCCCCGCCGCTAAGCCTGTGCGTTCAGAAGCTCAGACTGTCGCGGGAGTTCAACATGCAAAGCTCCATCATTTGCTCTAGGAGTTCAAAGTGTTTGGACACGTATGAACTGGTCCTGAACCAGAGAAAGTCAGTTGTTCAAGTCTGTTCATCCCAACATGTATCTCCAAAGCCAAGCCTCTCAAAGTTCCTGATGCTATTACCGCGACAAACATGGAGGTATTGAGGTTGAAGGAGTTAGCATCTGAGGACGCTGCATTTGTAGGTCTGTTCGGCCAAATCCCTGAGTCAAAATTGAACTCCAAAGGGTGTAGATAACAGGAGTGTCTGCAGAATCATCGGCAATCAAACGAGCAGCTAGAACAACAACTATTCGGATTCGGATGGATGCCGACGCAGCCACCCAAAGCATACTTGCAAGCATCTTCCTGACCTGGTTGGCTCTAGGATCATGCACAAGGGTGGCCGCTTACCTCAAGGAGTGAGAAGACAACCACTGGCAACCAAAAGCAATATATCCTTTTCCAGAACAACCATAGTTTGTTCTTTTGATGTTATTCATGTTTCACACATGTTCTTTGGGGAGACACAATCAAAGCCGCCAAGTACCAGACCCTTGGCTTGAGATGTGCCCTGTGGCGTATGTGTTGGGTCGATCTCACCTGGCAGATGTCCAGTGTTGGGTTTCTCGCACTCAGCCAAGCGGCTGATGGAAGGACGTAGAATCCAAGTAACATATGATGTGTGGTACAACGCACCAAGTGCTTGGGTGTAGCAAGTGCTCCCAAATCAAAAGTTCCTCAATCGAAAACAGGCCCCATCCCGACTCTAGTCCACACCGGCATCGAGACCTACAGGAACGTAGCCCTCCACCGGGTACTCCATCGGACCATCGAACTTGGCTGCAGCCATGAAGCCCTTCAGCGATGTTCTTACATCAGCTAAGAGGCCACTTCTCTCTGCCACTTGAAAATGTGTTTTAGGTTCACTGGAAAGATTTTTCCATCCTGGGACTCTATATATATATATATACATAGAAAGACTTAGGCGGCGCTCACACGTTTTTGGCTGCTTTGCAAGTGTCAAAAATAAAGATATATACAAGACATCAATTAGCTTTCTCAACTCCACTGGTCCCCCTGAAAAGTTGTCGCCAAACCGACGAACTCTTCAGCTTCAGAGACCGCTTCGAGTTATCCCTGGTCGCTCCGCCAATCCGGAGTACCCCAGAGCCCAGAGCCTCATAACTCTACCTTTTTGAGGGAGGGAGGGAGAGAGAGAGAGAGACTTCTCCCCACATCAAATCCTCAGAACCCTTCATTCTTTCTCGCTCTACTCTTCAGCTTTGAAGATCTGACCCTGCTTCCGAGCTCAGCCCGGGTGGGCAGGGTTAGGGAAGTTGAGCCGGAGCTGCGATCAAAAAATGGTGTCACGTTTCTTCGTCTTTGGCTCAGGCGCTCACAAGCTCTATCAAGAAATGGAACAACAAGCACAGCCTCCAACGCAGCAACGAATGCACATGGTGGTGATGTTACCAAAGAATACCACCCTGGAAAGGCCCATCACCTTGACCTCCGTGCCCTACAAAGACATTAAGGAGATTTCTCAACTCCACTGATGGTCCCCCTGAAAAGTTGTCGCCAAACCGACGAACTCTTCAGCCTCAGAGACCGCTTCGAGTTATCCCTGGTCGCTCCGCCCAACCGGAGTACCCCAGAGCCTCATAACTCTGTCTTTTTAAAAAAAAGAGAGACACTCCTCCCCACATCAAATCCTCAGAACCCTTCATTCTTTTCTCGCTCTACTCTTCAGCTTTGAAGATCTGCCCCTGCTTCCACGGCCCCATGTCCTGCTTGACAAAGCGGGCTCAAGCGTAGGCAAAGGATGGTGAAATGAATTCAACCAGATTTGGCGAAAACAGGTTGAGACTGGTCAAGACTGCTAGTCCATCGTTATAATGCAGGTTCGAGCCGTGCGAGCATTCTGCCAGAAGTCTATCTAGCTGTCCCCGCTTCTGGAACCAATAAGTGGCTCCGCCTTGTATCACACACGGAAAAACCAATGGCATTCAGTGTGTCATTAAACATCTTTCTCCATTCGGCAGGTTTATCACAGAGGGAATCAAAGGGTTTGGCCGAGAGTTTCCCCAGTGCAACCAACGAAGCAGCTGCTCCACTGTGAGCTCTGCAGCGCCTTGTCGCTGTCCGCCTTTAGTAAAGCCCAAAGATAAAACAGCCGGTCCACGCACCGACTCGATGGCCAGTGACCTACCATGCCCGTAGAATCCCGCAAGGAGTGATAATGCAGATTGGAATTGTTGCCGAAAAAAGGCGTAGCCGACCATGGTCTGTAAAACCTCCTCAGGCAGTGGAGGAGCCCGCACCGGGAGACGTTTGCGGACATCGGGTTGTGCGTCCTGACGGCGGCCACTGTGTCGGAGGCCAATGCACGGCCAAACCCTTCACTCCACAGGTGTTCCAAATATTATTCCGCCAACAACAATTCCAGGTCATGGGGGCTTGATCAGGAACGCGACGACCTTCGTCGCGCAGATAACTCCAGAACTGTTCCAGTGCTCCGTTGTACCTAGTGCGGGTGGCTGGCTGAGCTGTGAGAGACTTGAGACTACCAAGTTCTGCTCTTCTCTTCTTTCGCTCTTGCTGCGCGCGTCCTTCAACATGGATGCGACCTATTTTACCCAGCGCTTGACAGGCCGGTCAGTGTGGACATAAGCCCACACTGCATGGCATCCGGACACCAACAGCAAAGAGTCTATTTTGAGAAGAGTACGACGCAACTTGCGGCTGCTCGACCGACCACGCGACAACGCGCGCAAGCAAACCTGTGAGTCGACAAGATGAACAAACTTGGTTCTCAACCACCCCTTCCTGCCAATCCGCCAGCGGAGGGCAGTTCCGACAGCACGCAGTTCAAGCCCATTTTCTGTGTTCAGGATCTCCACGCCAACGCCAACCGCATACAGTACGCCACCGCCAAAGGTTCGAAGGAAACCTGGCGCGCAAACGATGATACCTTTGCACATTTTGTGAGGGAGCCTGAACCAAAAGGTCTTCACCCTTTCCACTGACAAGGCCTGTGACTTTGCGAACCAAGAGGTCATCGTGGGGCAGAATGCTTGCGCGCGGTACTCGCATGAAAATCCCTGAAAAGTGGGACTTCCACCCGGCCGACAGGCTCATCACGCGCAACTCCAAGGCAGTACAACAACCACGCAATGACAAACACGCACCAAGAGTTGCCGATGAGGGACATCCGCTCATCCAACCAAGTTGAACCCTGACGCTGCCCCTTGGGGCAGCACTGAGTGGTGTATCCTCGCGGGAAGCCCATCAACACTTCACGCTCCTCAATGCGGGGAATCCTGACTTGACCAGCTTTGTTGGCAACACCCAAGGCTGTTCGATATTGGTAGGGTGGAAATCTGTGAGCGTCCTGGTACTAGTTCATCGGAGTTGCACTGTTGCAGTCCGGCGGGCTTCCGACCAGGGTGGTCGCGAGGACGACTTGTGGTGAAAGTGGGAAAGGGTTTCGGTCAGCTTCTCCCAATGAGCTCCAGTGACCGAGGAGATGGAGGCTCCACTAGGGCCCTCTTCCAGCTCCCATGACGGCCAATAAAGACGAGGTCGGCGGCATCCCTACACCTGCATCAATCTTCACAGGAGTGGACCCAACGGACTTGCTCATGACCACACGATCTTGCACAGATTCCATCAAGCAATGCACCTGTCCCCAAGGAAATGTGTTCGCAACAACAGCTGAGTGATGCGCTCAACATGAGGAAACAATGAGCTACGGCGGTCGCGCAACGTGCCTCATTGAGCCCGGACACTCCTTGACACGGAGGCCCCGCGCCAAAAAGCACCGTTGGGCGGGGAGGGTTTTTCCCATTGCAGGGAACCTCTTTCAATTTGTTTGTGCAATAGAGAGGGGTCAGATTTTAGACCACCAAAGACACCTGTGAGTATATTGGCACGCCCAAGCTTTTACAGAGTCAGAAGTCACATCCTCAACACACTCCACAAAGACAGTGCCCGGGAAACGACTTTCTACCGCACGCCGTGCTGGGCCGTGACACTCCACGGAGACGTGCCCGGTCACTCTGAGCCCTACTGCATCTGCTGCAACACGCACACCACCAATGCCGTCGAACAGTCCAACAGTGAGGACCGTGGGAACATCTTTCACCTCAACAATGTCACCCACTTGTTGGTTGGCTGCAAAGGTGCCCACTTGGCTCAGACCAGCGGAAACGATGACTCCCCCTCCAGTAGTAGATGCGTCCGAAGCTGCGACAAGCTCAACCGGAAGTTCATATTTGCAAGTGGAGCCACCAAACAGGAACGGGCCAACTCAACTCGTACCTCCACTGGTATTGCCTGACGCGGAGGTCCTGTCACGAACCCCTGGATAAACTGCCAAATCGCTTGTGGGTAGCCCGGAGGGACTCAAGCCAGGGAGGACAAGCGCCCTGAACCTTCTCCGCCATGCCTTTGTCAACCTTCTCCAGCATGTCAAAGTTATCCAGGTACACCCTGAACGACGGATTGCTCCATGTTCAGCCTCCCAACCAGGGTTCCAGCCCTGTTGCAACGACTCTTCAACCGCCTGCAAACCCGTGGATGCGTTGCGCCAACAACACCGAATATTCGGCGAAGCCCATTGGTAACACACGACTGCGCAGGAAGTACTCCTCATCCTCCGAGGGACACAGCACACCCGGCACGGGCTTTCCAAAGGACAAATACGGACGCCAAGACACAGGGACGGTGAAGATGTAAAAGAAGCATCTCACGTCTTCCAAGCTCACCAACAATGTCTCCTGATCTCCTACTTCAAAAGGATGCATATAGACGGCCAGGTCGGAAGGGTGCTGAATGTCGCCTTGCATCGGACGGCAAATTTATGCGGTTCAAGGGAATCAAACTCATGATCAACCGATTTACACTGACCCCATTGACTGTCTCTTCCCTTGGGGCCCCGAAGAGCCCGCTGAACAAGGGTTGACCTTTCACGTGGTGAATGTCGGTCTTCCGGGCGATGCCGCAAATGCCTTCGTTGAGGAGGCCTCGGCACAAGGACTCCCATTCAACCTCAGACACCAATTGGGCGGTCTGACCCTCATCTGATCCGCCTCCGGGAGCAGGTACTGCTCGAAGTTCGTCACATAGCGCAAACACCCTTTGCTGACCACGTCCATCAACGGGACACTCCCGACTTTAAGCACGTCCGTCAACGGGACGCTCCCGACTTCATCCGGCAACGCTGGTGCCACATTCGCCCAGCTTGTTTGCTGAGCTACCTTCACTTCATCCCCTTTGTAATCTATCGCCCTCACCTTCATGTAATCGCTCAACCATATCTTCCGCCTCTTCAACCAAAAACGAGCAAGCCCTGAACTGTATACGTGAAACTTTTGACTTAGGGCAAGGATCGGATCTACATAGGTGATTGAGACCACACATCAACCCAAACCAAATCTCACGAACCTCACACGACAAAACGACGACTTGGGGGCGGTTCACTAAACTATCAACAGGAAGAGGTAAAACCTCTCCCGTGGACTCGGCCTTGCAAAGCTTCGACGTCGACAGTCTTGCCATTGCCGAACTTGAAGGTCTTCTGGATGTCCTGATGGACTTGAACTTCTTCATGGCCGTACTTGGCCAAGGAATGATCTCGGGAGCCACAAATGAAACATCCAGTGTATTCTGGATCACCAGGTCGTTGGCGTCCTTTCTCATTCTCACCCAGAAGGGCTGGATGAGCTTGCAGCCATGACCGATGGGGCAGGCTTGCTCTTGTTCTTCGTGAAGCTCTTTCCTTTGGAGTACTTGCCCTTGACGGAGGGGAAGAAGCCTCTGTTGTTGGTCTTATTCTTCATGAGAGCTCGGGCCTCGACAAAAGTGCGAACCTTGTCCTCATAGGCCGCATACACTTCACATTCCACCATGAGGTCTGAGTCCATGGTGGCTCTTCCCAAGACAAATTGGACCACCAGCAGTCCTCATCCTCGGGGCCAGGAACAGGCTGCGGAAGTCGTGGGCCAATGCGGTGAACTGGTATCTCATCTTGATCAGTCAAGAAAAAAGAGGTAATCGGCGGGGTCAATCTCGTAGTAGCGGAGGAGGGCCTACCAGTTTCGGTAGCTGGTTGAAGCCCTAGGCTCCAAAACAACCAACCAAGGATGCCGAAGGTGTCGCGCGGTCGCAACGTATGGCTTTTCGCGAAGCCGGGTGACGACGCCGTCATGTGAAGGCTTAAGGAATCCCTTTTGGGTCCAGAGGTGCAAGCGGCGCGAAACGGAGTCGACAAAGGTTCAACCTTCTCGACATGTCACGTTCAGGATCCTGAGAACCTAACAACCACACTCTCTCCTCACCTTCAACGCCACCTCGTCCTCTAGCTTTGGGTCTAGCTGCAGGCCTTCTCAATGGTCTAGGGGACATCAATCCTTTTTCTTTCTCAAGCGTTGTACCTCCTCAGGCAATCCCTTGAACTGCCGTTGGCCAGCCTTCTTCTTCTCACCCTTGTTGCGGCCTTGAAAGGGTGACGGTGACCGAGGGCGAAGTACGGGATTGTGACGGGCTGATGGAATCCAGCCGGGTTGAGGTCGACTGGGCGATCTTGGCCTCTTGTCAACAGCTCACAATCTGACGCTCCTCACTCCTCTGCCTTCGTGAAGGTCGTGCTCTTGGTGGACTCTCTGGCGATGCCTTTCTTCCTCTGCTGGGACCTTTTTCTCGGTGTTCTCGATCTGCTGGACTTCCTTCTCTTCTCACCCCTTCTACTCTCCTCTGCCTTCTCGCCTGGGACTGAACTGGCCTGCCAATCCTCCAAGCTCACCCAAAAGATTGCGCAACCGAAGGGTGGTGATCAAGATGAACCCGTCAGTCGTGCTCTGCTCCCGCACCACTCGGAACAGCCTGTGCAGCGACGCGCACACGCCGCACTGGTAGGCACTGTTGTGCCCCCACATCCAAGTTGAGCCGGAGCTGCGATCAAAAAATGGTGTCACGTCTCTTCGTCTTTAGTTGCGAGGCCGTAAGTACATATACAGTATACAAAGCATTGGAGATTTGAGGAAGGCAATGCCATCGCATTCTGCGAACTTGCTGCCCTTTTCCACCACCAGGGCTTTCGTATCCAAGGCGATTACCATGTTCTCACAATGCACTCAGTTACATGTGTAGTGCGCCAAGCTTTTCAGTTCCTGATCAAAGATCAGAATGTACAACTGAGCCCTGGTGTTTTCTCGGCCACCCATGTCAAGTCATGTGGCCGTGTTTTGCCACAAAGCGCAATTGTAAATGCAGTTCCCTTTGTGCATGACGATGCACTCCTTTTTCTTGCACAGATCCTGTGTAGCGGTGCGGGGCGCACGATTGAGTCGTGGAGCTCTCCATTTCATTGTGGTTAAGGCCTATGCATGTGGGCTTTCTTACATGTCTGGATCAGAGTATCCAACATGTCGTCGTCGCGGCAGACTGACCGTCCGATGGGTGGGTGATATACCGTATACAAAAATATATGTGAAAAATCGGGGCTGTGTTGTTCTGTGTGAAAGGTGGGAAAGCAACTCGTCAGACTAGTCGCCTGGGGAGATTTCTCCGGGTTGAGTCACTTAACGGTTGGTCTGACATCGAAGCCTTGCCACAAATGTGCGGCTTCAAGCCAATGCCCTGCATGTCTGGTGACAACCTTGGCAGGCTCCAAGTCTGGGTGCTTTTTTGATTCTCCTAGTTGCAAACACATCGGCGGCTACGCCATAGCCATACAAAAACTGTCCAGTGCTTTCCTTCTGCATCCCTTCTGCGAAAGAGTTTGCAGCCTTGTCCTGCAGCTGGGCTTGGGGCTTGTAGGCCACGCCCAGGTCCCTGCCGTTCTTGGAGAAGGAGATGGTCTGCTTCTCTCGATCTAGCATGCAGCCTTGGGATGCACATAGGTCTGATTGTTTACAGAACTGTCTAGCTCGCAGCTGAAAGAGACAACGTGACGGAGTTTTCAGTAAAATTTGGCTTCTGGCCGATGATATCACCCTCCTCGAAAGGCTCCCCGTAGTCCTGAGTATATAAGACCTTTAAAAGGCAACCCTTGATGCAAGGACAACAAAAAAGCAGTGCGCTTAGTCAAACAAATCGGTGCACAAACATCTCAAGAGTATTCAAGATCAGGAACACAGTTCATTTGTTTTGAGGGACAGTTAGTTGTTGCAGATTGCAAATGGTGTCGCCATCATCGACAAATGAATAGATTTGAATAGATGCCTCAAACTTCCGGTTCCAGCTCTTTTTTCCAGTTGAGCCGTACCCAAAGCCTTGGCCAGAGCTGCAAAAAAGGTTCTCATATCGCAAGCCATGGTGAACAGCATGAAGTATCGATGGGGCGGTGTTCCCAAATGGTGTGTTCGAAATGCAGTGGGAGGGTGGAAACAAAAGACTGTTGCAAGCTGAGGTGCTCTTGTCATCGATCCCCAGTTCGAGCTTCGCAAAGCCCGCACTCCAACCTCTCAAGAACTTCTAAGAGGATGAATTGCAGGTCAAATAAACACAATGTGAGTATTTCGCAAACCTTTTGACGCGGTGACATCGGCTGGCACGAAGAAGTGCCTACTCGAACCATTCCCTCAACAACCTGCAAGGTTCAAGCATGGCTGGCACAAGCAAGCTTGTAGGTAGTGCCAACGGATTGCTGTAGGCCCCCAATGCAACAAAATTTCAAGTCTAAACCCTTGCCTTAACCTACCATTGACAAATTGAGACTTCAATCATCATATACTGGGACTTTACCAACCACCTTGAAGTGTTGCTACTGATGTTGGTCATGGCCGCCAACTTTGTGTGGTGAAGTTTGCTCCGGTGATGTGAGCTTGCACGAGACCCAACGTACTTCATGGTGAGCGAGTTCACAAATGTAAGCAACAGTTTGGTGAACAGCCATCGCTCCTCTTCCTCACCTAGCCAACTGATTGGCTCCTTGCACATCCTTGCACTGGCTTTGGAATGTGAAGCAGCTCAAGTGTCTACTATGCTCAAGTAGGACCTGGGCCACACTTTGCAATTCGTGCACTTGGCCGTCATTGTTTGAACCCTCCTCGAGTCTCAGAGATGACACAGAATGTCTCATTGTTGCACGACAGACGGGCGACAGCGGCGACATGAACTTCTGCAAGGGCGACCTGTGCTGGACCATGCGATGTGAACCTAGACCAAAGAAGCCAGATGAAATGATCGATGATCTTTCCCGGAGGGCCCTGGGCAGAACAGCAAAGGCGAACCACCACCCAGCCTCTCTATGTGGTTGGGCTAAGCAAATCACAAAAAGCAAACCGAAACGTCTGCGAAAGTCAGAAAAACTGACAATCCCATTGCCTCCACTTCGAACATGTACTTGCCCTTCATGATGTCAAGGGTAGCTCGAATCCTCAGTGGCCCAGTTTGGACAATGGGCTGTAGTGCAAAAGCCCATTGAGAAAAAAGATGACACCAATTGATTGGTAGCTCTGAGAACGACTCCCGTTCCAGCGTTTGTCATCTTCGCTTTTGCACTCCATGCCGTCCTCCGTGACGAGCACAAACATGTCCTGCATCAAGCAGAGCAAATTCTTGCGACTGTCTTTCACAAAGGCCATTGTTGGACAGCTGTGCATACCTCACCCGACCTTGTCGTTGAGATTGAGCTCGCACTTCAGATTAGAAGCATTGGCCTTCCTTCAAACCCATGTGTGTGTGTGTGCACATCATGTTACATCGCAACATGACGTTGTGTTGTACTGGGCTTCATTGTGTCGCATGCTTGCATGCATTCTTATTGTAAACTTTTTAGCATGCGCACAAATGCAAGTAGAGAGGTTGCCAATAGACATGGCAACCAAGTTGAAGACTCTGTGGCAACCAAAAGTTTCGAGCAGCACGGGGCAAGTCAAGACAGGACTCTTCGTAGCTTTTTGCTTAAAGTCCCAACGCTGCGCTGCTCGACAAGCAAAGGAGCATTTGGTCACAATCTATACAGAAGCACCTGGTACTGCACTTGCCACGCAAAGTTTCGTGTACAATCTGCAAGCAAGGAAGACCTGGGTGGGCTGGTTGAAAAGAGTTCAACCACAACTTTGAATGGCTGGGTGAATGAAGGCTTTCTGAAAAGTCTAGAGAGTAACATCCCTCTTTCAGCTAAAACCTAATTAAACACTGCACAAAGTCTTGGCACTTGGATCCCAGAAGACCGCAACTGTCTATATAGCAAAAACAATCGATGTGATAAACTGATTTTGAAACAAGGATATAGCTAGCTATGTATCAGGAATGTTTCTACAACCTTTTCTGGATGTTAATTTGTTTTCGGGTCCGAAGAAGCGAGTGCAAAGCATTCAAGGTGAGGAAACGGGATCAGTCCCAAACCGAAGGCACCCGTCTTGCCACTTCCAGTCTCAGCGGCAACGAGTACATCACCTCACGTCACTTAAAAACAAACAACCGGTGCTCTGGAACTCAAAGGCGTGCTGCTTGCTGCGCTCGCTTTAAAAAATCCAACAAAAAAAGTTCAAGTGACTTTTGGTTTCACTACTCCGCCTCCACCAAGAATCAAAGGAACCGCCTGCAAGGGAGACAGACACCAGGCCCATGCCCATGAGCAAATTACCGAAACAAATCACCTCAACTTCGCTTAACTTGTTGTTTTATTGTGCATTTTTGACAGTCATATATCGTATGTCATATGGAGTCATATACCACAAAATACGCACATCGGCAGAAAATTGAACCTCAAACCTCTGAGGACCAATTTCTGCCCGCCATTGCAACCTCGTGTTAGACTTTCGATTTGTTTTTTTGGGCACGGAAGTTGATCCAGTTCAGCCTCACTACGCTCTTTCGTGCATCAACATCACTTCGAACCAAATGCTGAGAAAAGTCGAGGACTTTGATTGTGCAAACCCTGCGATGAGAATTGTAAAAAGAATTGATTGGCTGAAACCCAAGTAATTTAGGCATCGAGGCCTTCCACTCAGCTTTATATAATGCCAAAGCGGAACCACTCCAAAAAGCGACCAAATGCAGCAGCCTCCTGCTGAACTGGTGTTGGGAGCAGCCAATCATCCTGACAAATATGCGATGAACACAGTAAATAAAGCTCAAAACGAACTTGTGTGCTTGTGTCCAGTAATCTTAAGCAAAGTTCGTTGCCCCACGATTGGAAAGTAACATGTGACAACCAAATTCCAACATGTAGAATGTTTTCCGGTCTTCCGCTGAGTATAGAACAGTTGCTTCGACCTGACTTAATTGCAGAATAACGTGCCTCTTCGACTGCTTGAATAATTTCTGGACAAATGCCCAACTCTTCAAAAGCACTCATTGCAGAGGCCTGCCGTTCATGCGCAAGCGCAACGAATTTGAGGGGTTCGGCCAAATGTTTCAAACCTCGCCTAAAACGACAACTCCACATGTAGTGCAAAGAAATATATACAGGCTATATGCTGAGCCAAACCATCTCCACCATTAATAGTTCGTCACATTACAACTGCAAAATCGCCTCAGATCAATGCAACATGCCGTTGCAATCCTTGGAAATTGATTTGTCTAGTCTTGCTACTTTGTCGTCATTCGGAGTGCTGCCCTGCACTTGTATTTTTTCCCGCGAGCACAAATGGTCTCCCAACAGCCATGCGGAAGAAGGAAAGAACAATAGGGATGGGGAATTACAAAGCTTGCAAAGCTGTGCAAGAAATAGGTGAAACAGAACACTCCACCAAAAGTACAAAAGAATAAAAACCAGCTGAACATGCAAATACACAACGCATCAAACAGCACAACGGTGGAGAGCACCAAGAGCAGTACCATGAGAGGCTCGAAAGCCTTTGGCCTTTGGGACTCGGCACAGTCCCATGCATCATAAGCGTGTGGCAAAGGACCAGTTCTATTTATGGCGGCCTGTTTCATGTTACAAAGAAGTTGGCAGTCCGATATGTCAAAAACAATGGGGTCCAAACAGCAAAGAGCAGGAATCCATGTAAGTTTCAACAACCCAGTCTGCGCGGGGTCTACCTGGTCTCCGAAAAAACGGAGTTTTAGGTGTGACACCGTCAAATTCAAAAACAACTTGGACCAACAGCTCCGACTTCGGTGCCCGCAAAATGTGACCAAATAGGCGGCATTTGTGTTTTCCTCTGTCCGAAAGGTTCAAAAGTACATCCATGCTCCTGCTGAATGCTAGCGTACATTCGAGCGCTGGTTTGTTCCCGATCAATGAACGTTCGGGGGGATTCCCAAAATCCTTTTGAGAGATTTGTTTTGAAAGACACTGAGGCGAGATACATCAGCAGTAGTTGGTTGTATGCATTCAAGACTATAGAGAAGTTTAGATCTGACAATAGCGTTGAAGACTTGTATTTTCCATTTGACACTGGTGTTGTTAGCTTTTGACCAGAATATTTTAGGCGTGTTACACGTTGCTACGCAGCCGCTCAGTCTATTGGAGATCCCTGCCCGTTTGTCAAAGGAGTCCAAACAAGGTGCCTAGATACGCAGCAGAACTTGTCCGTGGAACCTTGGCACCTTGTGCAGGACCATTGGGTGCGAAATGAACGGAGGACTGCAGTTGTTTGAAGTGAAGCATCAAGGGCAAAGCACCGCACAAAAAAACGCAAGAACATGCACAAAGTAAATTGTACGTGTTGCGGCGCGGCGCATAGTCATTACTGATGGATTTTTTCCCATTTACGCCGCCAGATGGAAGGCTGCTGAAAGAGCTGAACGAAATGTCTGGCAAAACTCGCTTCTTTCACTCTCGAGCAGTAACGGCCTCGTAAGGCCTATTTGGGTCCATCTCTACATGTCCTATGACATGGAGGTACACGCACACTCTCTCATGTACACCATGTAACACACCTCCTTTGGGTCTAGCGGGTTGGGGCCAGATCCAAACTCTCTCACTTGTCTGCATGGTGTTCCTCTCAGCGAAAAACGTGGGTAGCAGACCTTACGGTAAACTACACTTCCCCTGGATCTTTCAGCTCACAGCAGGCACTCTAGATGAGTCCGGTACACTCCAAAACTCGTTCTCACACTCTCGAGACTCTTCAAGACCACAACATCTCAAGCTAACGCACTGCACTCCCTCGCGCCCTTTTACTCACACTTGAGCCAAAAACAACAGTCGGTTCAAAGACTGTACATATGCATACTACACACAAGCAACTCTTTACAAAAAGCTTTTAAACACTCGAAAACGCTAAAGACCTCTTTCAAAACTTCAAGAAACAAACTACAGTGTTAAAGTCCGGTTCTCTCCCATTAAGAACACAAACCAAACAACACAAAACAAACAAAGCAACAAGCACGAGCGAGGTGGCCATCCAACAAATGGATTTCTTCACCCCCTCTTGGACATTTCGCTCGGAACAAGAGGCTGACATTAAGCCTTCTTATTCTTGTTCAGTGAGGACAGACATTTCGAACGCAAGTCTTTCGACATTGGTGCAACCATGCCTGAGCAAAAGGGATTCAAATGAACCCTGCTCCCACTCACTGGGAAATACTGTAGACCTTCTCACACTGCCCCAAAGACCTGGGCAATGGTATATCACTCACCGTGATAGAAGGTTCCTTCTTTAAACGACTCTGAAAATCAGCATGCTCACGACGCCGACTGAGACAGGAGCAGGTCAGCAGGCTGCCACAAATGACGCCCGCTGCAAAGACCATAGTGGCCGCGGCTTCCAAGCAAGCATTGTTCCCACATCCAGGGCCATCATCATACCTCAGGACGGTATGAGCGAAACATCGAGCTGGCGCTTATCACATGCCTGATCTAAGATGCGAAGTCTCGTCTTACGAACTTCTGCAAAAAAGTGCCATTCTGGACTGGTTAATTCGGCTTTAAATCCTTGAAGGATTAGCTCGCAAAGCTTCTTGGGGTAATGCTGCGTTTCAATCCAATTGACAGACAAATGATCACGGCGACTATCACAGACGCAGACCTTAAGACTTTCAAGCAAACGGGTACTATCAGTATCGATTCCCCATGTCTTCTTGACCAACTGATTCTTCTGCATCAAATCGACCGCACACGCTTCAACGAAAGTTGAATATAGAGCTCTCTTTCTCAGAAACTCTTTCGTCTGATTCCACCCCCAGCAAGCGCATCGCTTTGGCCATTCAATCGCTACGAAATCAGCTACTTCTGACAACGTAGAATGCTTTTCCAATCCTTCTTTTGGGTTCGATACAACTATCGAAGAAGACTCATGTAATCCTGAATCCGGACCATACCTTTTTGAGACAAATATACTGAAACGGACATCCTCCGGCGCACGGAATCGACGACCATAAGACAACAAGCTTTCCTTTCTTCTTGCGATTCAACATCGACTCTCTTAGACTCTTGTCTCTTCGATCGTATGAGTACGGGTTCCGTCATCTGCCTCCGTAATCGTCAAGACTTCAACACCTTCCAAACGTTCTCCTTCAGCTTTCATCTCGGATTCCGGTGACGTGCAGAACTCAACAATCACAAGAGTCACAAGACTCTTACACGAAACATTTTAAGATCCAACACCACCTTCCGATCCAATCATATGGAGTTTCGAATGTATTCAGAAAACCTCGAACAACTCCGACCTTCTCCATGCGTTGCAACGTGACTGCTCTCGACAATGCCTTGGTCATCAGATCGGCGCAATTCTCTGTACCTCGAACGAATGTGATGGAAATCACACCTTTGTATAAGCCGCATCCTGCAAGAAACAGATCCGAATATCAATGTGTCTCAACCTTCTGAACAACCCTGACATCTCAGTCACATTTCGGGCTGCCATTGAGTCTGTAAGCAAGTTCGGTACTGGCAAATCTTCAGCTTGACAACCAAAAACATGTGCTACAGCATGTTGGACACCTAGTGTCTCTTTTGCTCCATCGAACAAAGCATACAACTCTGCTTCGGCTGAACTACAGGCTAGACTCTGCTGTAATCTACTGTAGGCCTTGGTGCAACAATCACTAACGAAGATAGCTGCTCCTGAAGTACTCTTCTTGTTCGTTGACTTTTCGGCTGCACAACTGGCATCGACATGTTGTAATGCTTGGGACGCCTGAGTATTCATAGCTTCTGAACTTCAACTTCCGATCGGATACGGAACGGATACTCGCACGCATCGCTGTCTCATGAACTGCAAGTGGTTGAGCTTGTCCTCGAGCAAGCATTGAGCACAACCAACAAAGATCAGGTCTCGACTGAGCTACCCAACCTGACTTTTCTTCAAGCTTTCCTGTGACTTTAAGTCGAAGCTTCTTTGACAATGCATTCACGGGTAACCGGATGTTCTCATCATCCCCAACAACCAACAAATCATCAACGTACATCAAAACGATCAAGTGATCCTCTTCCTCAGTCTCTGCAACTCCTTTCTTGTACCTTCCGGCGAAAATCGTCTTCTCCGTCACACATGCTGTCAACCCTTCAAGTTCCAACAGCTCTGCCAAGCGACGATACCATGACATCCCTGCTGACCTAAGTCCATGCATGGCCTTCTCCATAATCACAAACAGGGGCTCTCCACTCTCGTCCTGCGCACCAACAGGCAATGAAATAGATGAATCACTGGAGCATGCAAGAATGCCGTGCTCACATCTAAAACCCATGCTGTCTTTCCAACTCCACTTTTCTTTGGTTTCCTTCGGAAACTCGACTTCTGAGCTAGATACGACAACACGATCTTCAAGGCTTCTGACGACGCCGTGGGACTTAAAACTCCGAATTCGGCTGCTGACGGACCTGTGGCGAAATCACGAACAACAAGTCTGGATCGAACAATATCCCCTTTGATAGCATCACCCTTATTCACAACGACCCATCTTGTGGAAAAGATCCGGATTCCATGGTATTCGCAATTTTCCTGAGCTTCTCTTGTTCACAACTTGAACAATCTTGCGCTTCTCTAGGGCAATGACTTCCGTGCGCATTCCCTTAAATGTAGCATCCACATTCAATGGACCTTCACCTATGTCTGAAGTCGCATTTGATGGCTATCGAAGAACAATCCATCGTCCTCCAAACTTCGCATGAATCGGCTTTCGAATCGAACTCCTCCACATTCTTTGGACCCTTCCTACTATACTCCAACACCCCCTCTTGAACTGCTGACAAAAACATCTCAACCTCATCATCCGAACATCGTGTCAAGGGGTCTTTCACAGTCTCCCACAACTCGTTTCCGAGATCTTGCAAGCTCGCAATGGCATTGCCTTTGTCATCGTACACGCAGAGCTGTTTGATCGGAAATTCTGTAAATCCTTTCCAATGCTTTCGCATCTGTTCTGAGGCTCCAGGCTCACTGACATGAAAACTGGTCTCGAGGAATCTCATCAACCGACCTTTCATCAACAGCATCGACGTAATACGTGCTCTGAATACCTACCAATTGCTCCTGCGGGCATCGGCAGTGAAGATGTTGCGAACAAGACTTTTCGACTTCGACGGTGAACTCGACGCAACA